TTGTGTTTCTCTTCCAGTCAGCTTCATGTACACACAGCCTCTGCCCTTCACCTCACTGCATCCCACCCCAGAAGCATTGCGTCATCTCAAGTCCTCACAGGAAGAAGGGAAGTACAGTTCAATAAGCTGTTTGTGTGTGTGTGTGTGTGTGTGTGTGTGTGTGTGCATTTGTGCTTTTATGTGTGGAGGTAGGAGGTTAACCTTGAGTATCATTTTTCAGGAGTTGCCTACCTCTATCTACCTTGTATTTTAAGGCAGGGTCTCTCATGGGCCTAGAGCTCCCCAAGCAGGATAGACAGGCTGCTCACTGGGATTAAAAGTGTACACCATAATGACTGTTTTTTAAAAATTGTTCTTATTGAACTATACAGTTTTCTTCACTCCCCTCCCTTTCTCTCCCCTCCTTCTAGCCTCTCCCATGACTCCCAGATTCCCAGTTTACTCAGGAGATCTTGTCTTTTTCTCCTTCCTATAGAGATGCGTGTATGTCTCTCTTAGGGTCCTCTTTGTTATCTAGTTTCTCTGGGGTTGTGGCCTGTAGGCTGGTTTTTTCTTTACTTTATGTCTATAAGCCACTTACGAATGAGTACATATTATATTTGTCTTTCTGGGTCTGTGTTACCTCACACAATTTTTTTTTCTAGATCCATCCATTTGCTTACAAATTTCAAGATGTCATTATTTTTTACTCCATTGTGTAAATGTGCCACATTTTCCTTATCTATTCTTTGGTTGAGGGGCATCTAGGTTGCTTCCAGGTTCTTGCTATTACGAATAATGCTGCTATGAACATAGTTGAGCACATGCCTTTGTGGTATGATTGAGCATCCTTTGGGTATATACCCCAAAGTGGTATTGCTGGGTCTTGAGGTAGATTGTTTCCTAATTTTCTGAGAAATTGCCATATTGATTTCCAAAGCATATGCCTGTTTTTTTTTTAATGTAGTTTTCAGGGATTGAACTCAAGATCTCATGCTTGCAAGGCAAGTACGTTATTAACTGTCTGGTCAGTCATATTTCTTTGTCATTATCGTGGATAATTTCAGTATCCCTCTCCCTACCCAGACCCAGCCTCCCCTGAGACAGGTTCTGTTCTGTGGGGGACGGGACAAGCACTTTACTGATTGAATTACCTCTCCATCTCTGTAGCATAACATTTGGGTTATTCTATTTTATAATTAATTATTGTCATTGGTTTTTTACTTGACCTAGTTTGTAAATTAAACTTCATCATAGGCCTGTGTGTGTGTTTGTAGGAAAACAAAACAAAACAAAACCATAGTATGTGGCAGGCAGCTCAGTTCACAGGTTGCTTTTTCAGGCATCCACGAGGCGGAGGGGGGGGGCTGAGAAGGGATCTCCGGTGGGTAGAGAGTCTCTGCTGTGGATAGGCAGACAGATGCCCTACGCATCTTCTAAGCAATGTTGTATGTTGTATAAACACACCGTTGGAGTGGGTTCCTAGGAAAAGGCCCATAGAGAGACAATGGGTTGACTCCCAGCCCTGCCATCTCCCTGGAGATGGAAGGTGGTGCTTTGGCAAACCTTACATTTAATGCTTACATTTTTTATTTATTGAAAAGATTCAGTTTTTAGTTATGCATTTGTGTGCTTGTCTATGTGTGGGTATGCACACATATGCATACAGGTGGAGTCCAGAAGAGGGAGTTGGATTCCCTAAAGCAGTAGCTACAGGCAGTTGAGAGCTGCCCAGTAGGAGCTTGGGGAATCGAACATGGGGTCCTTTGCATGGACCGTGTGTGTTTTTGACCACCAAACCATTTCTCCAGTCCCCAGTTTTGATATTTTTATGTCTCTCCGATTAGATGGTTGTTGTAAATGGTTTTAGGAGATGGACAGTTTGTCTCACTTCTGGGTCTCCAGCACCAAACCGATGATTGGCATTTACTAAGTACTAGTTTTGTCTCCGTGCTTCCTGGGATGGGTGGGTGGGGGTGTGTGTGGACTCAGCAGGATAGAACTCTACTGTAGAACCTGGAGTTTATTCAAGGAGATCTCCTCTCTTACCTCATTTAAACTTGTTAGTCCTCTCTTAATCTTTCCAAATTTTAGGGAAGAATATGTTTACCCCATTGTCCAGGAGAATGATGCAAACTCTTCAAGAAAGATGACATTCAGGCTTCAGGGATGTCTTCTGTGATCCTGTTCATGAGCACTCCTGTATCTGGGGATTTGCCTTTCTAGGAAGCTGGGCCACTTTGGCTTGTGTTCCTTCCAGGCGAGTTCTTCCAGGGTGCGGATAAATCAAGCTAGCATGATGCTAAGTGTCCTTTGTAAACACGCTTTCATGTTTATCCCTGCGAGAAATGTCCTAGGGACCGCATCAGGCTTTCGTTCCCATGGTCTCAAAGACGGTTCAGAATTACCGAGCTGTCTGTTGCGCTCAGCACACGTTGGCTTTCCTGGGGCACAGAGCCTTTGGGGCTCTGGGGCACTTAACTTCTGAGCCATCCTTTAGCTTGTGCGATTACCTTGCTTTGACTAATGAGCGAAAGAATTCTTCCAAATGTCCACGGATCTGCAATCCTGCTCAAATGTCATAGGGAAGGATGGTGACATCTTGGAAAAAAGTTCCTGCTTTGATGGGTTTTGCTGTGTCATGCTTGGGTCAGGTCAGGTTCCGCTGGATATTTCGTTGTCATGCGAGTCCGGCGAGGGTCTATTCTCAGTTTCCATTCCCACTACTGGGAAATGATTCACTTAAATCATTACAATGGGCATTTGACACGGAACACAAATACCAGTTTTTGTTTTTGTTTAATTTCTTCCCTCCCCAGAGAAGAGAATCTAAAGCAATGAAAACCTGTTTTCCATCTCCCTCCGCTTTCCCAGTCCAGGAACATTTGAGATGCTCATTAACGCCGGGCCATTTCGGACTCGGCCAGTGCAATTGTTGAATTTGTGGTTTCTAGCAGATCTGTAGCTTGGCTTTTCATCTTTGACTAATGGCTGCTTTCAGGCCTTTGTGGCATATTCATTTCCCTAACATTTAAAATAAATACTCAAGTGTCATGGAAACCGGGGCTGGCTTTTTTTTTTTCTCGTTCTCAGTGACTTTTCTTCGGGGATGACTTCAGCCGCTGTGAAACAGATACTGACTTTTGCTTCTATGTACACTTGGCTGTTACAGCAAGAGAATCGACACAGATGGGGGGGGGGACCTTCCACCGAGGACATAGTAGGACCAGAAGCAATCTTGTCATGTACTCATTTGTAGATCTCTTCAGGGAGCTGCACTGAGGCCCTACTGTGCACCAGGCACTAAGGCACACACACTCAGTGTACTGTGGCTGTTGCCATAAAGAACAGACCAATGGAAATCCCTACCTGGCTTGAGTAGCATGTGTCCTAGTCCCTAGCTATCTATTCAGGAGGCCTAAGACAGAGAATCACCGTAGCCCAGGGTTGGTTTCTGAGGCGCTGTCTCTTTATGTAGCCCTCTCTCTACTTAGACATGATTTTATAGACTTGTTTTTTTTTTTATTTTACCCACAGGAATATTTTGATTGCAAGTATGTCCGTGCGCCATGTGAGGGCTGTACCCCCAGAGGCCGGAGTTTGGATCTGCATATGAAAGAGAACACGTGGTGTTTGTCTTTCTGAGCCTGGGTTACTGCACTCAGTGTAATTTTTTCCAGGGCCAAAAAAGCAGCAGTTGCGACTAAGTAGGCGGCAAGGCTTTACCTGGCTGTGTGTTTTAGGCCCTCGTCAAGGGTGGCGTTAACCTTCCCTCTTTCCCTACAACACTTCTTTTCTTTTCTGCTAAGCCCAGGCTGGCCTGAGATTCATTATGCTGCCTGGGCTGGCCTTGTATGGATGGCAGTCTTCTTGCCTCAGCCTGTCGTGTGCTGGGATTACAGCTACATAGCTACTACACCACATCTGGCTTTCTGTGAGTATGTGTGCACATGTACGGTGTATGTGTATGCATGCTTTCCTGTGCAGCTGTCCATGTATAGACGTGTGCACATGTATGGTGTTTTGTGTATGCATGTTTTCCCGTGCAGGTGTCCATGTATAGACGTGTGCACATGTATGGTGTTTTGTGTATGCATGTTTTCCCGTGCAGGTGTCCATGTATAGACGTGTGCACATGTACGGTGTATGTGAATGCATGCTTTCCCGTGCAGCTGTCCATGTGTAGACGTGTGCACATGTATGGTATTTGTGTATGCATGTTTTCCCATGCAGGTGTCCATGTATAGATGTGTGCACATGTATGGTGTTTGTGTATGCATGTTTTCCCATGCAGGTGTCCATGTATAGATGTATGCATGTGTATTGTGTTTGTGTATGCATGTTTTCCTGTGCAAGTGTACAGGTACAGTAGAGTAGATGTGTGTACATGAATGGTGTATGTGTATGCATGTTTTTCTGTGCAGGTGTGCAGGTACAGCTGTGTGCACAGGCAGGCGGAAGTCAGAGGTTCTCAATTGCTCTTCACCTTGGATTTTTTTTTTTTTTTGAGACAGGACCTCTCACTGTCTCCACTCCAGAACTCATTTACTCTGAGAGACTGGCTGCCCAGCAAGCCCTGGGCTCCTTCTGTCTGCCTCATCAGTGCTGGATTTATAGGCACGTGTCACTACCCCCATTTCTGCTTCCTGTGGGGTCTGGGGATCTGAACTCAGGCCCTAATCTTGTATGACAAGTGCTTTACCAACTGTACTCTTTCCCAGCCCCACCCCCTCTTTTAAACTGTTAATGAATGTATTTAGTACTGGCTATAGAGTTCCCAGAGGACATTCTCAAAACAGAAACATCTTAAAGTTTAAGCTGGGCCCTCTGTTAAAGGCTTTTCAATGCTCCAGGAAGGTTCATGTACTTTAAAGATATTTTTGAGCTGGATGGTGGTGGTGCACGCCTATAATTCCAGCACTTGGAAGGCAGAGGCAGGTGGATCTCTGTGAGTTTGAGGCCATTCTGGTCTACAGAGCTAGTTCCAGGAGCCTCTCATTGCTGTGGGTTTGTCTCTTCAGGAGTATGTGCACCACCTGATGGCCCTGGAGCACCGCGCCGAGGAGCTGTTTCTGGAACACTGGCTGAATCCCCACTGCAAGCCTCATTGCGACAGGGACCTGGTCCACCCTGTGTAAGGAACTGGAGCCGGCTTGGTATGTTTCCAGCCTTTTGTTGGGGAGAATGACAATGGGAAATATGTTCATGGTGGGGAGTCTTCCTGGAGGAGTGTGCTCAGGGGCCAGGTGTCACTGCCTGTTGTTTAAAGGGTGGCAAGGGAGCCATGCAAGAAGGAAAGCAGGGGAGCCTACTGGTCACTGAGAGATCCCAGATGGGGTGATGATGGTACCCTATTTGCCATCCAAGAAATATCTGTATATGACATGCATGCAGTTCCTACAATGGCCAGAAGAGGGCATCAGATCCTCTGGGACTGGAGTTACAGCCAGTAGTGAGCCACCATGAGGGTGCTAGGAATTGAACCTGAGTTCTCTAGCAGAGCAGGTCTTAACTGCTGAGTTATCTCTCTCTGCAGCTCCCTCTCCCCAGTTTGGATGGACTGGAGCTTGCTGTATCCATCAGGCTAAACTTCAACTCAAAGAAATCTTACAGCCTTTGTCTTCTGAGTGCTAAAATTGAAGGCATGCACCACTGTGCTTAGCCCTCTCTAGGCTTTTACAGACCAAGCAGGACAGGGCATAACCGGGTGGTTGGTTATGTGTGGTCACGAGCAATCTCCGCACCTTTGCCGATGAGTATTCTGTGTGACTGTAATGGCACTGGGATGTCCCTTCAGAATGTCACACTGGAGTTTGTCCAGTTCTGTCATGGACTGTCTTATTACCCTGACGTCATCAATGGCCTGTCTCAAAAAAACCAAACCAAACCAAACCAAACAAACAAAAAACCAGGAGTGCTTGCTGCTCTTCTAGAGAGCTTGACTTCATTCCCAGCACTCACGCCTGGCAGCTCACAGCCATCTATACAACTCCAGCTCCAGGAAAGTCTGACGCCCTCTTCTGGCTTCCTGGAACACTGCATCCATACACATATATGCACACACAGACGCACATGCACCTAAATAAATAAAATAAATCTTTCAAAATTGGTGCACACAGAAGGAATTTTTAGGAAATAACAGCTGTTATTTCTCCTCTTTCTCCTCCTTCACCACCTCCACCCCCACCATTCCCACCCCACCCCCACCACCTCCACCCACCCCACACACCCCCATTCTAAAATTATTTCCTCCTTTCTTCTCCAGCAGGTTTCTAGGCAGTGATCCGGAGGCTGCTGGGACAGAGAGAAGCTCGTCTTCCATTTGATCTGGAACTGCAGAAATGAGGCCATTTGACCTCAGGAACTTGCGGCCCTTTGTGGGAAGGCCAGAAGTGGCCTTCAGAGGGAATGACAAATATATATTCTGCTCCGTTTTACTAACCTGCCCACATCGTGAAAACTAACAGCTTGAATCACAGGGCCCTGAGAGCCCTCCTACCAGTTTGCAAGTAGGCGGAGCCCCAGTCCTCCGGAGAGGGATGGAGCTGGGGGCTGCGGAACAGGCCTGGGGCGGGGTTGTCTGCACCGTGGGCTCTTTTGCTCAGACTGGGGAAGTGCATCACCAAGAGCTGCTGAGTTTCGGGTTCTCTGCTTTTTCATTTCTCTGCTGCACTAATAAAGGCTGGCGTCTAATCTTCCTGTGTGACTCTTTTCCCACTAGGGGAGTACTGGGGATTTCCTGCCATATTCACCTTTGTAAGCCCAGTTCCAAATAGTGCGCCACTATTTTTTAAAGGCTTATTTAATCTTAGTTTATATGTGTGAGTGTTTGACTGCATGTATGTATGTTCACCATGTGCTGGGGTGTTGGGAGCTGTGAACCCCCAGATCCTGAATTTCTTGTAAACAACTTGTTTTTCCCTGATCTGAAAACTAGCAGCTTGAATCACAGGGCTCCTGAGAGAGCCTACAGCTGCTCTGAGCACGAGACCCTCAGGAGTTCCTGATGGCAGGGGAATGGCTTCTGGTGCGTTTGGCTGGGGCGTGGCTATCCCCATATAAGCTGGACACAATAAAGGGGGCATTCTTTGGGCATTCTGGCATCAAGGATGACCCGTGTCCCTGTCTGTGAGTCTTTGTGCGTCTCAATCTCCAGCCCCCTTGCCTGGTTCACGAACAGTATGGTGGCGCACAGAGTGCAGATGGGCGTGGTCCACCACACTGGGGGAGACCAGAAAGAGGACATTGATCTCCTGGAACTACTAGAGAGCTGTGAGTCACTATATGTGTGCGTGTGTGTGAGGGTCTCTCGCCATACCTGCAGCCCACTGATGATCTAGTCTGGTTGACCATGGACCCTGTAAGTCTCTGCCTTCCAGGGCTGGGATTACAGGTGCATGCTGCATGCCAGACTTCTTCTGCATGGCTGCTGGGAATCTGAACTCAGGTCCTCATAGTTCTGCAACAAGGGATTAACCCATTGAGCCATCTGCCCTGCATCCGAAGGCCGATTTATTTATCTATTTATAATCTATCTATCTACTTATTTATTTATAATCTATTTATTTGTTTAACATACATGCCATGCTGTGAGCCTGGAAGTCAGAGGACAGTTGTCAAGAGTTTTCTCTATTGAGGCGTCTTTTTAGGTCTCTTGTAACCACTTTAGAACCCAGAGCCCAGAGGGGTTTCACACATTCACATGTTGTGCACCCAGCACCACTGTCCAGTTCCAGCCGTCTCATCACCCTGAGCGAGACCCTCTGTCCCTTAAGCTGTCATTCTGTTTTTAATTCTTTCCCGTCTTCAGTAACACCTATCTGCTTGTTACGTATGAAATGGCCTATTCCGGATATTTCAGATACATTGAGTCCTAAATGTTTTTGTCTCTGATTTCTTATACATTGCATATGATTTCAAGGATATCACCTCCGTAGCATGCACGAACATTCCTTTTTCGGGGGCCAACCCATATTCCATTGAGTGGATCTATGTCCCACCTCATGTTTAGTAGTTGATGGGTCTTTGAGTTCCTACCATGCTTTTGTTTGGTAACTGTTTTCAAGTCCTCTTGGTCCCTACTTAGAGAGGGAATTGCTGAATCAGACGTGATTTCCATTGAGCTTTGTTGTTATTGTGTGTATGCACGTGTGTGTGTGTGTGTGTGTGCGCGCACATGCGTGTGCACAGTGACTGGGTAGAGGTCATAGGACTGCCTTTGGGGTGTAATTCTCTAGGACTACCACCCACCTTATTTTGAGTCAGCGTCTTCCATTAGGCTGGACTGGCTGTCCCATGTGACCCAAGGATCCGCCTGTTTCCACCTGCCTGCCTCTGTGATTGCCAGTGAGTGCCACCACATTGCAACCAACTGTAAGCCAAAGGAAACATTTTTATGGGTTTCAGGACTTGAACTCTGGTCCCCAGGCTTGCAGGGCAAGCACCTTACTGACTGAACCACCTCCCCAGGCCTGTATTGTACTTGGAGGGGAGTTTCTGTTCTCTGCTGCAGCTGCCCCCATCTCTCACTCCCACCGGAAACACAAGCATCAAGGCTTCTCACACTCTTGCCAGCAGCTTGTTATTTCCCACTTAAACACCCCTGGTGGGTGTGAAAAGGACTTCACTGGGGATTTGATTTTTCTAAAGCCTAATAATAATTTCAACATCTTTTCATTTGCTTTTTGGCCAATTCGGTATCTTTTGAGGGGAGAGCTCTCCAAGCCTGAGCTTGCGTAAAATTTCAGTGGTCTTCTGCTGTTTTGACAGGCTAATGTTCATACTCAGAGCAAGGCTTACTAAGGGTAGAATTTTGCACAGGTTGTAGAATGTTCCCTGCCTGGATTTCCCTTTCTGTTCAGTGGGTATAACGATAGAACCTACCGCCACGGTCTTGCCGTGGTGAAGCTTTAGGACCCTTGCATGGCCCATGGTGGGCTTTTGCTGTGTAACAGATGCCCTTATTCCTCAGGGGCTGAAACTAGCCGGGGTGACTGGCCACCACACTGCAGAGATTAGTAACTGCTGGGAAGCAGATAGGACGGTGATGCAACAGAGTGTAACTGGAAGGCTATTTTGGGGTTGGGTGCACAGGGAAGGCTTTTCGGAGGAGGTGACACTTGAGCTGACACCGGAATGACAGGAAGGAGCCAACCTCATGAGGATCCATGTACAGGAAGGGCACTCCCGGCTGAGGGAACGGCTCCGGTAAAGGTCTGCAGACAGACATGAGCCTTCCAGAGCTGCTCGAAGGGAGAGGGGAGGACAGGTGGGTTTTCAGCATGTGAGGGTAATAGTGACCGTCACAGTGTGGGAAGACAGCTGCCTTGACTCAGGAAGCCAGGGTGTGCAGGGTCTCTGCTCGTTACCTAGGAAACCAGAGATAGTGACTGAGACCATTTGGCAGAGATATTCATTTTTTTTCACGTCAAAAACAGAGTTTGGCGGGCTTGTGAGTTGGCTCAGTGGGTCAAGGTCCTTTCTGGCAAGGCTTGTGACCCGAGTTCAATCCCTGGAACCCACGTGGTGGGAGGAGAGAACAGACTCTGGCCAGTTGTCTTCTGACCTCCAGATGTGTACCGTGGCACATGCGTGCCTCCCCCTCCTCCACAGAGACACACAATAAGTGATGAAAACAGTAAAAAAAAAAAAACACGTGGTTATATTTACTCCTATGTAGTAAGACTATAACACGCACGAACTAAACTAAGGGGAGAGGCTTCCATTTTCAGATGTGAATCACTGGGCTCAGCTGAGGTCTACAGACCATACTGGCTCCAAAATGAAGGGGCAATGAGGCTGTACCTGAACACTCCTCTTCTTGGGGTAGTCCTAGAGGGCACGAGGTATATGACCACTGCAGCGTTAGGGTTCACAGAGCTCTTGGCCCTCCTCAGGCTCTCCCATTTTCCTAGAACCTTCTCTCAAACTGTCTAGCTCGGGTTTGATTGAACACCCGGCATGCTGCGCTCGAGGCTCCAAAACTGAGCAGTGTTCTGGGAAAGCAAGGCACAGAGAAGAGCTTGGGGGTCTAGAGCCTGCTACACTCTGCCATCATTCTGGGCACCTCTTTGATGGTACCCACAAATCAGGGAACCCAGTGCCATGGCGGAGAGACATGTTGTCTGGGCTTTCTGCTGGATTCATCCTCCCTATTAAGCCTGTCTAGGTCTCAATTTGTTCATCTGTGATGTGTTGGTATAGTCCTAATTGCATATTGAATGCACATGGATAATTTTAAAAGTCTCTGCGTGTGTGCGTGTGTGCGTTCAGGCACGCGTGTGTGTGTGCATGTATCTATCCATCTGCCCCCATTTCCCTCCGCAATGCTGAGTTTACAAGTGTACCCGGATCTTTTTTATTTTTTAATGTCTGTATGTGTATGTATATGGGTGTTGGATGCATGTGTGGAGCCCTGAGATTGGTGTTGGGGAACTTCCTTGGTTGCCCCTCACTTGAACTCAGAGCTCACTCACAGGTGAGCCTGGTTAGCCAGCCTGCTCTGGAGACCACCTGTGACAACCAGGAACCCACTTGGCATTTATGTGGGTTCTAGGTATCAAAACTCAGGCCTCATGTTTGCACAGCTAGTGCTTTAACCATTTGGGTCATTTCTCCAACCTCCCCCCTCCCCCGACACGTGGGCACTAAGGGATTGGAATGCTAATCCTCATGCCCGAGCAGCAAGTGCTCTTACCCACTGAACCACCTCCCCAGCCCCGTGTTATACGGGGGCACTCTTTCTTTTTCCCACTTATTCCCCCAAAACGTAGAAACTTGCCTTAGCTGAGCCCAGGAGCCCCTCCTAAGGTTTCTAGGCAACTAACTGTTCTCTGGAACCGACTAAAGGAAGGAAAATTGATTCTATGGTTTGGACGGGAAAAGGAACCTGGGGTGTGTGTGTGTGAACTCGTGTGTGAGTGTGCTTGGATAGGCGGTGGAGACACAGCACGGGCCACACCCACGCAGGCACACACTTGATTGCTCTATAACAATCTGTAACTGAGGAAGGGTGGGCACAAGGCGTCAAGGGCTCGGCCGGCCACTAGGGGTCAGTATGTCTCCGTTGCAGGCGCTGGCGGGCGGCTCACCTGATTGCTGCAGACACCAGCTGACAGATCCCGCCCGACTGTGTTCAACACCTCTTGCCTTGTACTGGCCCGGGTGAGGGTGTGTGTGTCGGGGGGGATCTTTTTCTGTAGTGAGGTAGAGACCCTAGACAGTCTAAATAACACGCTTTCTCTTTGCAGGAAAACGCAGAAGGTAGTCAAACTGTCCTGTCTTTAGCATTCCTTGGTGAAGGGCGCATGGATCCTATTGTGGTTTCTGCCTTGGTTATCTTGGTGCCGCCGAGAATGGCACCGGGGGTGGGGGGTTGGGGTGGGGTGGTCCGCTGAATTCTTCATTTTCTATTTTCTCCCTCGGCGAGGAGGAGGGTGTTAATGCCGGTTGGCAGTTACATGAAACCGAGGCGGATGGTGACGGGGTGTGCTAACCAACAAGGGCAGGAAATAGTGTCATATTTTCTGGAGAGCCAACCGCTCCCAGGAGACGGACTGCAGGATTCCACCCGGAGACTCTTGGAAGGGCTGGAGGGGCGGACAAGAAGTCCTGCATAATCGCTTCTCTCTTCTTTCACTTTCTGGGGCACCTGTACAACGACAGACTCCACTTCATCCCCGGTCTGGCTAACTAGCCAAAGGACTGGCCATAAAAAGAAAACAATCCACTTTGATCTGACGTCACTTCAGCGTTTAGTTATTCTTTTGTCGAGAGTGTGCTCTGGAAATAAGACTTCAGGAACGGAGCTACTTGCTTGGATCCTAG